AAGTTGGAGAAGATTCTCGAGAGTAAGAATCAACAAGATATATGTGGGTACATAAACGCTAGTGTTAGCGCCAGTATTGTTACTTATAGCTGAAAATTCGAGAAAGCCTCCACACGCCTATAAATATAAACAACGCAACGTGCCAAAAAAAGGAGTATATATTATTAGTTTGCTATAGTCGGTGTGCTATATACTTTGGAAGCTATAACTGTGATTGTTATAACGCTTACCAATCGGAAAACTTCAGATATTTGACCATGAACCTTCACAAAGTTCGAACATTACAAATCATTTAACTTCAGTGGATTCTCATTGGACATTAATACTTTTACGAAAACATTACATAAATTCATCGTGGAAAACTCGGCGTGTGTGGCTGATAAATAACGAAGGAAAAAGCTAGCTAGCTCCCTGTTAAGTGAATTATACCTATGTTAACTCGTAATTAACTCGCTCATCATGAACTCTCAATAAGATATGGAAGAAGTTCCAGACTAGAAAGAAGACTTTATATTGCTTATAACTTTGTGAAACTTTTGTTTATAAATCATTGTTTGTAATTACTATTTGTAATAACTGTTATTGTAAACTGTATTGTTGTGTGTATATGAAAATGTATTTATGTTAAAAAAGAAAACTGTGTGTATCAATCTTGTTGGAAAACATCATAAACTGACTATATATCGACTTTTACTTAACTGCTAAATCCAAAGTACAATTAAACTACCAAATTTGAATTATCAGTTAACTGGTTTCAGACCATTTGAAATTATAATATTGTTGCGTCAGCGAGGTCACGTGACTAATATCACGCCACGTCCTTCTCGAGCCTTCATGAATTATTGGGAGACTACTAGATTGGGGGTAGTCTGGTATATATATAAGACGCTCACAACGTGACGGAACAAAGTAATGAGTAATTGAATGTATGGGACAGAATATTGTTGGCCACGTGAGACGTGAGTTATAGCGTTGTTATAGAGCGACTGTTGAAATTAAGTATATCGTAAAGTTGTATTCGGAAAGAATAAACCAGTTTTATTTGAGAAAGGACTTCTATCGGTAAAGTTTCTTCGGGAAGAAATTATACGGAAAATTAACTAACAAACGGAGGCGTAACAATATGTAACATAATAAATTGGGGGCTTGTGTCTGAGATCTGAATGAGACACAAAATTCGATCTAAATTAAAATTTGAATCACAATTGCATTTTTATTTATGAGTGCCAACAAGATTTGATTATGTCTGATTTTCAAGCATATTATCGAAAT